GGCGTCACGATCGCGTTGCCGACCCTTTAGGACCCTTCTGAAGGACTCCATGCTGTATTAAAAAGGTACCGGCTGCGCCGAGGTTTTTCAAAAATCTCTCACTAGATGTCACTAGCGGCGACGAATGCCGAAAGCTAGTACAAAGATCTATAACAAAAACACATAGAAGAATTTTGACAGCTCGGTAACTTAACCTCTGGCTCAGTTGGTAAGAGTAATGCTACGATGCAGCATGGTCGTCGGTTCATATCCCACCGGGTCGAAGAAATTATTCTATATGTTCTATCTTTGTATTAATTATTAACAAAATAAACTACTGTTTTTAAATTTGTATTGAATTGGTATTCAATTATTTTTTTATGTGAAATTACTCCACTAGTTTGTTATAATTATTAATACAAAGATCAAACACTTAGAAAAAATTCATTCGATCCGGCCGGATTCGAACCGACGTTTTCTAGCAAACCGTGGCAGACGCTATGCCAAGTAAGCCACTAACGAACCAGCGGACCTAACGCATTTTTCTATGTAAGCACGTGTTCTGGTTTTTTCAACGACTTTTTAGCCGTAGCGCCATCTATGAGAAATCTACGAAACTAACTATTAAACTACTAAACAACTGTTTATTAAAAAATAAATTTTATACTCATTGACGACGAAATAGGCATATCCATACTAAGAACATGTTCATACTTTAGGTAAATTAATTTGCTCAATTCTGATAATTGATTATGACATATAATCACGTGTGGGTAACAATTATCATTACATAAATAACAGTAACAACATTAATGTGAAGACATTTCACGATGAGCTTTCTTTGATCTTCTAATAATCTCATCTAGTTTGTTTCTTGCGTTCAATAGGTTTCTCCTTAACTTGAAAATAATTTCATTGGCCGTAGTTTCAGTTATATCAGGGAATTCCTTCCTTAATGTGTTTTTTATATCTGCAAATGTTTCGTCGGGGACGCCATCTCGGATTGGATAATATTCCAAAATGACCGTTTGGCCCTTTTCTTGGCTCTCAATTGTGTCTCGTAGGTCCATGGCAAAACGTCTCAAAAAAGTATCTATAACGTCGTTAACCTGAAAAAATGTTTAAAAAAATGTAAGCAATTGTTGTTGATTTCAATCGTCTTTTGCTATCACAGATAATAATAGAAATAGAAACTTTGTTACAAAGCCACATCATTAAAAAAAACACAAAAAAAGTAATATAACTAGAACAGAAATAACACAAAAAACAGCGTAAAAAACATTTAAACAACAAGTGACATAATACGAAAGTGACATGTGTGCGGCTGTGGCGTGTACAAAAGGATCCCATTCGGCTCAAGTCACAACCAAGACTAGGTTGTGACACTGGTTTTCAATGGGCCCTAACCGAGTGATTTTTTCTTCTTCTTTCCATAAAGGAAAAGGCAAAGGTTTTACACCATACAGCCAAGTCTTGGTACATTATTCTTTTTTGGTACATGAAGTTGAATTATGTTTCTGTAAATATGGCCGCCACAAAGAGGATAGGCAATTTGAGGCGGCGTGCTTGGATTGACTCGGGATTCCTTAGAACGGGCCGATACGGGTATTTTAGTTCGAGATTCGTATAATTTCGCGTTTTAATTCTCGATTAAGGCACAATAGCACTATCCTATTCCACTTTAAACTAGATTTCACAAAATAATTGAAAGTCAAAATAAAAACGACACTTTTCCCTCCAAAAGGCGAATCCCCCTAACCGAGTGAGTGAGAGTGACAGACGTACGCGTTCCGAAACAGGAAATAAACTGTGTGTGTTTATAGTGTTATTGCAGTGTGTACTCTTATATCGAATAAATACTTACATAATCATTGCAATATATATATTATACAGTTATAAGTGTGTGTAGTGTGTAAACAACTTAAACATTTAACAACGATTATTCTCACGCAGTTACTATTTCGAATAATTCTATGTGAATTTACAAGTTTATGATTATTAAGTTAAAAAAAATATGCAATTAAAATAACGTAACACTGTTATAAATATAATTTCATTATCATATTTAATTAGAAGTAATTAATTTGACTTTAAAAATAAAAGATATACGAGCGCCCTCGCAAGATCCGCCATGATGGAAGTGTCATATTAGTTGAGCTACGGGTAAATTATAAATGAACTTCATTCAAGGTTTTGATAGTTGATGATTTGAGAGTAGATGTTTAAGCATACTAACTTAATATTTGGTAGTCAAAAATAATATTTGATATTCCTTTTTTTATTATTGATCTTTTAACTATTGATGACATTTATAACCAGTATAACTTTTGATAATGATCTCCTAATAAATCTTGGTTGCTTAGTTGCGCACTCCATTCAGTATCAATGAGGGAAGCGAACGTGCAGCGTCAGCGGCCGGTGAGTGTCAGAAGCTAATTTGCTTGCGTTTCCGAATGTTTTCGGGTCAAATTATATTATAATAGTATACAAACATAATCAATATAGACTTAACTTTCATAATACGTACTTATCTAAGTATTATTTTTAATGCTCATGTGCTTTAGCTTAATGAATACAATTCAAACGTTTTTTTTTCGTAAGTAGCTCTGAATATATTAAAGCATCCATTGATTTAACTTATTTTATGTCTCAGAGAAATAGGATCAATCGTTAAAAAGGATAACCTTGAAAAAAAAAATGATTTTTTGCCTGCTACTTTTTTTGCAAATTTAAAATATGGTCATTTAAATACATGGCATAAAAAATGTTGACACAAATATGTACATACCTCTGCAGTTTCCCGCAATGTAAAATTGTTATACTGTGACTGCACATAAGCCACCATGGTGTTCCTAAAATGCTGGATATAGGATACTTCCGTCCAATCCTTGACTACATATTCAGGAAGTTCATCAGAGTTAATATCCATGTTGTTAATTGGTAACGGAGCCGCATCTGTACTTTGTGGTACTTCTGTAGGGTCCCGAAGCGCTTTTGTACTATTCTCAAGCGCTTCTGCATTGTTCCGAAGTACTTCTGTGTTTATGGGAAGCGCTTCTGTACTTGTTTCTGTGTTCTTCTGGGCTTCTGTTATTTTCATGTCTTCTATTGGATGAGCAGACGTGATTAACAGAAAGGGAAGGATAATTAGGAGCCCTGGAACAAAAAATAACTTTATTAAAATGGACTGCATTGAAGAAAAACTTTTATAAATTTCTCACAGATTTATTCTCTCACAGAGCCTGTGAAAATAAATATGTATGTCCAAGAGTTAATAACTATTATGGTAAAAGAACAAATAGACATCTCTTGCCAATTATATTTAATAAATTCGATTTTTTGGGAGGCACAGAATTGTTAAGTAAATTCACATTGAAGAAAAAATTAAAACTTATACTTCTTGAAAGCATGTAAATATAGGAAATTCTACACTGGTTTTGTTAAATGTATTCGTACTAGGTATACTATAGTTTTGTGATTGTGAATGTAACCTCGCCAACAAACCGCTTTCGCAGTTTGTAGAGAAATTGTATTATGTTCTCTTGCATGCCTTCTTTATATGAAATAAAATAAATAAATAAAATAAAGATGGCGCTACGGAAAAAAAGTCGTTAACAAGCCATACACAAAGATCTGCAACAAGCAAAAAATAATTTGCAAAGTCTAATGCTTCATTCCGTATCGCAGTTGGGAGAGTGTCAAGCACGGAATGCGGAAGGCGCTGGTTCGACTTCTATTAAACTAGAATACTATGAAACTAGATTTTATTACTGCTTAGATATTTTCACTTTTATTGGTTCTCCATACAAATTTTCATCCTCTATTTCAACCCCTTTAAGAGTTCATACTACTTCAGCTCGAATTCTAATTATACCCGTACTAATACGGTTCATTTTTCTTGGGTCGACCGGTAGGGACACTGGTTTTATTTTAGAATTTATTTTCTTACAAACGAAATTCTCGAAAAAAACGAAAGTCTATGTAAAGTACCTATTGAAATGAAATGAAATGAAATAAGTTTTATTTGCATTGAATAGGTTTTTTACAGGATGGTAGTTGCTACATTTGAGTAGGTACTGCTATTCAGCCATTATACAAAAGCATGCAAAATTTAGTCTTTTAGGTAGTCATTTACACTATAATAACCTTTTTTAATTAAATATTTATACAATTCAGATGTCATTCTTTTATATGTCAAGTTTTTTATTTCTATTGGCAACTTATTATAAATTCTCATGCACATATAATATGAACTTTTTAAGTACAGTGTAGTCTTAGGTATATTTTCAACGACAAGTCCATTTGGGTGTCTTTTCGCGCGTGGATTAACATCTATCGATTTTTTAAACAATTGAATAACTCTGTCTTTTTTTTGCTGTTGTGAACATTTTTAGAAATCGTGTTTTCACACCGTATATTAATCAGTGTACGTCATTGACTTACAATTATATGGACGTCAGGTCCGCGCTAAAAAGTGTCCGAACTTATAGGGCGTTAAAATCGTATACAGAGCGTCATTCACGCTTTAGTCTTCGTTTGTTCGACTGACAGCGAAACAAGCAAAATTAGACAGTACTGCGATGACATTACAATTTAAATTCAACGTTTTAGCTTTTTCATATTCCTTTACATGTCACTACGTTTGAATAGGTTGACTTGGGACATTTTTTTCGTGGTTTTTGTATTAGACCCGTCGTCCATTTATTTGTAAGTCAATGGGTCCGAGGTCTTAAAGCGCTTCACCGGAGGAGAAGCGGAAAAAAACTGTTTTGCTAGCTCAAGTGTTTAGGTTTTAGTGTTAAATTATGGTCTTACATAAAGTATACGATACACCTAAAGATATTGTCTAAAGAATGTGCTAATTTGTTATATGATAGTACTTCTAAATCCTGAAAACAGGCCCAAATAAAAGTTTAAAACGAATTATTTGAGAATAAAATAATTAACTTTTTACATAATTTTTACATGGAGATATTTCTCTTTAAGTACTACAGAGAACCTGCAAAATTTTGGGTTTCAACTGAAACCCTATAAAACACACATTTACCCCAAAATTTGGAAGTTGCCCAGAGGTTTAACGATATGCCGCGCCACTCGCTGCCACATCAGTCGCCATAGAGCGCTTGACGACGAAGGATATATGTCAAATTTTTTCCACCTATTCGTATTTTATTCGTATTAATTTTCAGCGCGCAGATTACGGGTGCGAGGAGAGGCCCCTCCCACACCTCACCTCCTAAAATGTAGGCTTGCGAACATCGAGTATATAACCAGAAATAGAGACGAAATACCACACATTCCTGGTAACTTACAATTATATGGACGTCGGGTCCGCGCTAAAAAGTGTCCGCACTTGTAAGGCGCTAAAATAGTATACAGAGCGCGACACTCCGCTTTAGTCTTCATTTGTTCTACTGACAGCGCGATACTGCGATGACATTACAATTTAAATTTCGAATAGGTTGACTTGGGACATTTTTTTCGTGGTTTTTGTATTAGACCCGTCGTCCATTTATTTGTAAGTCAATGGGTTTCGCGCACCTATTTCAATAAAACTTGGCATATAGTTGTAATTCCACACACTTTTGAGTCGCTTTTTTTAGTACTCTGTACAGATACTGTACGTGTATATGAATGATTTAAATATAATTATTATTATAATCTTAACGGTGTCTTAAAAAAATTACATTGATCAGTGGTTGCAAGAAAATTAAAGATACGAGGTCCTGTTTAATTTTTGTGGTTATTTTTTGTTTTTATTTATTTATTTGTATTCACTTTCCAAAGAGCCATAAATACATACCTTATAGACTAACATATGTAATAAATAATACAACAAAACACTTATGACTAATTATTAAAAACCAAGTTGAGATCTCTCTTGTTAAGTAAATGTTATTACAATGTGGGAGACTTCATGAACTCTCCTATAAGCTAAAAGAGTCCAGTTTCAGATAAGTAATTTTAAGTCTATGTAATACTATGATCTAAAGTTTATTAATGATAATTTTAAGATCCTATATGTATTAGTTCCTAAATGTTATTATTATTATTTTTTGCTATTATTTTTATTTTTACAATTTTAATATTACGTTTAATAATAATTAATTGCTGCACCCCAAAGGGGTATGTATGTACTTATTACCTATGTAATTTTTGTAAACGTCAGTACGTGACACCCTTCGGCCAAAACTCATACGTCATGAAGGTTGACAAATGTTGAGTTGTTACTCTCACCACAAAAGAATTAAACTTTACATTGTGGTGGGACCCCAACTGCTTGACCCTCATTGGCTTTCACTCGTATGTACTCCACAATATTGGCAGACTTTGTGGAGTAATGAAGCCGTGTCACGTATAAATTATATTATATACATTTTTATTAATTATTATATAAATTCAAAACTCACCCATTTTCTCTTCAAACACAATATGGGTCCGTCTACTTGACAGGTCAAGCGCACAATAGGTTAAAGTACATGCATTTAAACCACAAGAACGATGGATTATGCAACAAAGAGACAGCCTCAAGGGTATCTAGTAACTTATTTGTGAATCACGGCATTGTAAGCTCGAGTTAAAGGTCGATTCTCGTACGATAGCGGAAATAGGGTGCCCTCGTCTAATTTCGTGATAAAACATAATTGTGTAATAGAACAACTGATTGTTTGAAAAAAAAAACCCGACATTTTATATTCGGATTGTCTGATCATACAAATGGATTATAAATATAATTTGCCTGTAAAATTGCCCTACTTTCGCAAAATGATAGTCTATCTATCATTCTTCATGAAAACTTGAAAAATCGTATACTTTTTGAGTGAACAAAATAAGGATTAGTTTAAAAACTATGAAACACCAGCTGATTTTCTTACCTAAACTATATAACCTATGCTGTTTTTTCATTATTTTGTCGTGATGTTCGTCGTGGTCGTGTCTTTGTTTTTTTGTAACTCAGTCAGTAAAGAGATCTTATACCCACCAGCTGCAATATATTACTGAATTAGATATTTTTGTCGAAACTGTACTGTACACGTCAAGATATTTTATTGATAAGGGATAAGTGATGAAATTCCACTTATCTTAACCAGTGACGGTGTGGTAGGGCAGAGTGGAAAAAAATCCACTTGTCCCCGCCAGGGGGGACCGCTGGTCGGGACTAGTGGAATAGGCCGGTTTTACCACTGACTTGACACAGTTTTGACGCAATGGATTCACTTTATCTAACTTTGCAATTGGATTTCGTATTTCTTGAGTGAACGTTCGATTTGAGTGGTTTTGGGAGGCTACTCTTCCGAACGTCGGGCGATACATTTCCTCAGGGTTCTTTACTGTCCGCAACCTTCTTTCTGCTGCATATAATGATATGTTAATTCAAGGTGTCCTTAGGTATGCTGATGACAGCATAGTTGTGGACAGGTACTTGATCAATGCAAGGGTCAGGGGAGAAGAAATCCAGTCTTGTAGAGAGTCCAAGGTTAGTTGTTTGAATCTGGCACTTAAGGCAGTCAATCTAGTCAAATTTAATGCTACCAAAACGCAGGCGTGTCTTATCTCCACAAAACGGAGTCCCTTTCACCTGACTTCGACTTTTCGTGATATATCCATACCGATAGTCGACCGTATTCACCTACTTGGAATGGACCTGACGTCCAATCTGAACTTCGGCAGATACATTGAATTCATAGCCAAAAATGCAGCCAGGAAGCTTGGCATCCTTTCCAAGGTGAGCCGGGACGGTTGCTTCAGCTGTACCAAGCACAAGTCCGGTCGTGTATGGAGTACTGCTGCCACCTTTAGGATGGCTCTTGGATTCAATAGAAAAGCGTGCTAAGAGGCTTATAGGTGATTCGGAATTAGTAGACGTGAAGCTGCAGAGGCTTGAACACCGCCGTAGAGTTGTCTGCTTATCGGTATTCTACAGGATATATCACGGAGAGTGTGTGATGGAATTGCATAATTTAATTCCGCCTTCCCCTTTCCATCATCGGGGGACTAGATTTGGGCTGGGGTTCCACCCCTATGTCGTGGATATTCCGAGATATGGCGAGCGGCTAGGGAGTGGAATTCCCTGCATGCAGGCTTATACCCCGAACACTATAACTTGGACCTTTTCAAGGTGAATAGGTATTATTTAGGTGTGCATGCTACATCCTCGACCTCATCGTCACTTTCCATCAGGTGAGATGGAGGTCAAATGCGCACAAATTTTTTATACCAAACATAAATACCGTGAGGTCAAAAAATGCATGTTCGTGCAGCAAGCAAATCTGAGCGTCACGTGACAAATTCGTCGATTGTTACCATCCCGTTTGCTCAATTTGAACCAGACTTTTACAAAGGAAAAGGAAACTTATCTTCCTACCTTAACGTTCCTTTTAAAAGTGTAGATTCATATCATTTAAACCTATATTAGCTTCCAAACATTTTGTCTTGAATTAGATACACCACGTAATTAGGCGAGTTTACCCTATAAAACGTTAAGAATGCTGTACAACGCATGGGCAGATTCAATAATTGGATACGGGCTCGGTGGTTATGGTATAATATGCAAAACATACTTAAATGATATTTATAAATTACAAATAAGAATACCTACTTAAATCTTTTGCGCCAATATCAGTTAAAAATAAATGTAAAATGGTCGTAACAATTTGTTTAGGTAATGTAGAATCTTAGATATGCATAGTAAAATAAATATGTAAATAATTTGTGATGAAATAGATAAAATTACCATGTTAAAACAAACGATAAGAATTGGTAAACTGCGTAATCTAATAGAAAATGAAATTATTTTTTCGGATTTAAATCGTTTTTTCAAACGAAACGTTGATTTTTTGTTGATATATGCGATTTTAATAGTTTCATTTCCTATGTGTAACAATCGCAAAAACCTAAGAACTCGATGCGTAATCTAAATTACCTACCAAGGTATGTTCTTCCTCCATACAATAACAACTATGGAAAGCGTGGTTGGAGATACTTGTTACCATTACTGCTTAATAATTGCCAAGTGATGTTCTAGATGACGTTCTTCAATGTATTTTTTTTCTATAGGAATGTCATGTAAATTCTCAGTAAAAGTAAATTTCCTCTAATAAAACAGTCTTGTTCCTGTTTATATGATATGCAATTTGATTACCATTATATATAATATTATTACAATGAAAATAAATAAATCTTAAATGTATTCTAAAAGTCAAATGATTTAATTTTAAAATTATTGTCAAATTTAAAATTAAAGTACTTTAAAAATAAATCATTTCATTATTAATGATTTATGTAATCAATTATTAATAATTAATTAATTATATTGTTAGACTGCATGTGATGGCAGCAATACATTAATGTCTTAATGGTTTTTAATCGTTGTTTTTAGGGTATCTTTTTTGTAAACTTCTTACTTACGAATAAAACAAAATAAATAACGGTAATCTAGTTTATACATGACAATTTTTATTTATAATTATTAATACAAAGATCGAACACTCAGAAAAAATTCCTTCGATCCGGTCGGATTCGAACCGACGTCTTCTTGCATACCGTGCCAGACGCTATACCAACTAAGCCACGGAACGAACCAACGGACCTCACGAATTCTTCTATGTGCTTGCGTCGTGTCTTTGTACTTGGTCTTTCAACGACTTTTTAGTCGTAGCGCCATCTATCATACATATTTCACGACTTACGTTTTAATTACGTATTAATAAAATCACGTATTAATAATTATAACAAACTAGTGGAGTAATTTCACAAAAAATAATTGAATATTAATTCAATAAAAATTTAATTAATTTTTATTTACTATTTAACAATACAAAATGAAAATACATTTCATGAACGGAAATCTTGTTTCTCAATTCGTCGCGTAGGTAGCAATTATTCGCTACTTAAAATTCATTGTACCAAATCCGCAGAAGCTTAATAAATTCATTAGCCACGATTTAAATTTGTTTCGCCATTAAATTCCCATTTGCTTTATTCGTTCTTTAATGAAAATTTCGTTTTATCAACCTGTGTCCCGGTTTCTTTTGGAAGACAAAATTAATTTCGGACATTAGACACTTAGGTCGCTAAATCGACTCCTCCTACGTAAAGTATCGTATGTCGAAATTGCCAAGTTTACAGAGAAGCGTTTTAAAGTTCTCCGTTTTATTCGGCAAAGCTCGTTACTCAAATAGAGTGATCATCTAATACATCATCTAACCGATATCTAGGATTTTATGATACTCTATGTGAGTAGCGAGCTTTGTCGAATAAAACTGAGAAATGCTAAAGTCACGTGTTGTGCTTATTTCAGTGAATTCAGAATATTTAAAAGGCTCTTCTGTAAACTTGGCAATTTCGACATACGATACTTTACGTCGGAGGGGTCGAAATGTCCGTCGCGAATAGGCGACTCACAGACTGCAGGTATACAGCACTTGACAGTATGCTTTGAATAAAAAAAATAATTTGAAACATGTCGTAAATATTTTAAAAACCTAAAAGAAACTTCCCTGAAAAAAATCTACGAATTGTAGCTTGCGCTATATTTTTTTTGTATCAAGTGACGGGACGAACAAGTCAAGCGCCTGGTGGTAAGCTACACGTCTGTCCATAACAGTTGCAGTGCCACTCACGAGCTTTAAATCTCAAAGATCTGAGGGGCACTGCCACTACGCCTGTCACCCTGAGACAAATTGACAAGTGCCATGTGCCTGTAATTTCACTAATCTTACCTTTTAAAGCCGGAACGCAGTAATACTGACATTACTGCTTGGCGGCTGAAATTGGTAATGTGGCAGTACTTCTCTGGACGAACTCTTTCACAAGGAACTATGAAATAAATAGTAGATTGAACAACAAGTGCATAAAATGCATCATTTTACCCGAGACGACTATGGTGGTAAGGTGGATACTTAAGTCGAGGGTAAAATGGGTTTTATGAACGAGTTATACACTCTGCTTTTCACTTCGATTGTGAGAAAATTAAACAGCAATATTACAAATAAATTAGACATATTTAATCAGAAAAATTAATTAGAAAAGTATGTAATAATGGAATTTATTAAAATAACGTTTCCGCCATTGACTTACAATTATATGGACGTCGGGTCCGCGCTAAAAAGTGTCCGCACTTGTAAGGCGCTAAAATCGTATACAGAGCGCCAAACTCCGCTTTAGTCTTCATTTGTTCGACTGACAGCGCGATACTGCGATGACATTACAATTTAAATTTCGAATAGGTTGACTTGGGACATTTTTTTCGTGGTTTTTGTATTAGACCCGTCGTCCATTTATTTGTAAGTCAATGGTTTATTTCAATTATTGTTCCGCGTTTTCCATTGCATTCGTGTAACTATTTTAAGATTGCTAAATTTGATATAAGAATGTTACTTTAATGTTGAAATCGCGTCATAGTACGAACTGAGATAATGAATAATTATGCTTACACTCATTCCCACCTATGTTACG